TTGCTAATCGAGGCCCCGAGTTTTCGGGATGGAATCGATTGGCGATGGAAGGACGCGGAGCTCGACGGCAGGCACGAGAAATTGCGGATCGCCTTCCTTTCCCAAGTCGAAGGGCAATCGACTGCCTGACTTCGGTGGAGCACCTAAATGTACTTCGGTTCCATACGGCGATCTCCGCGAGGATCAACCCGTCGTTTCTAGAGCATCCAGCCTCTAATCAGGCGCATATTCGCCATCGCCGATCCCGTGATGACTATGACACCCGAGCTATTCGCGCCCTCACCGGTCGCGCTGTGCCATATTGTTCTGTCGCTCATCGGCGCCGCGGTCGTGCGGCGTAGAGGTCCCGCCAGGACCACTCCCGATAGCGTGCCGAAGCCTGCGGGCCCGCCGATGACTGGCGCGATAAAGGCTTGTCCGTCCGAGCAAGGTAAGTGGAGGTGCAATCAACTGATGGCTCCAGAAGTGAACAGCCACGTGTACGCAGAAGATGACCGTGCTCATGTCCGTAGCTGCCGAACGTTGCGAACGAATGCCAGCGTCGACTCTGCCGAGATTGCAAGAATGTGTGCTGATGGAAATCACCGAGCCAGGATTCACCGAGTAAGAGGAGCTAGCGATACGTACTGGCGGCCTCCTATTCAAATCCAGCAACAACACACATGGTCGAAATATGAATCTCGATCTTGGTTCGCTCCGCAGCGTTGTCGCTGCCGCCGAACACGGAAGCTTCCGACAAGCTGCGGCTGCTCTCAACCTCAAACAATCGGCATTGAGTCGTCGTGTTCGCCACCTTGAAGATCAAGTGGGCGTTTCGCTGTTCGAGCGCTCCAGTGGAGGAGTGCGCCTTACCCCGGCTGGCGCGAGCATGGCACAAGCGGCCCGCCGTCTGTTCGAAGAAATAGACGACATGATCAAGGCTTCGCAGTTGGCCGATCGTGGGGAAGCCGGTGTCCTCAAAGTAGGATTCGGGACGGCCGTATCGACCAGCAAGGTACGTACCCTCATAGCAGATCACATTGGGTCATTTCCCGAAGTCGCCATACAGGTTGCCGAACGATCTGCGGCACAGCTGATAACAGCCCTCGCGACGGGAGATGTGGACCTCGCCATCATTGCAGGCGAGGCACGCCAACACAGCGGACCTTCGATATCCTTGTGGTCGGAGCGCATTGTTGCGGCTCTGTCTTCGCGGCACCCGCTCTCAAACAGCGAGGTCATCGATTGGAGTGATCTGAAGGACGAGACATTTCTTCTCAGCCAATGGGATCCGGGTCTTGATCTTCGTAACCTGATCCTCAAGAAACTCGCGGCGCCGGGTGATACCCCCAAGATTGAGACCTGGGACACCAGCAATGAGAAGGTCCTCGGGATGGTCGAGGCAGGACTTCATGTCAGCGTTCATTTCGAGTCATGGACCAGTCTTACCTATACCGGCGTCCGCTTTCGCGAAATTCGCG